TGCTTTCTCCCACAATACAATAGATATATATATTATATTTAAATGCGAGAAATTCTCTAAAATCAATATTTAAAAATGTCAATTTGGCGACAAGGACATTTGATGAGAAAAAAACAACAACATTCTTTTGTATTACATCTACTATAATATTTATAGCGACATACATGTACATATTTTGTACTCTAACGGTATCTGTCGTTCCGAATTTGTAAATTATATATGGCGCATTTTAGTTTTGGTGTTGCACAGTTTGTCGGCGCCAAAGACCACCCGCCCTGACCACCGCCACACCATAAACTATTGCCATGCCACCAAAGAGGTACTCGAGTGCACATACACGCATGCACATATATGTAGCTAGATAAATAGATATGTATGCAATGAGGTACGTAAACGAGTGTCTATGGGAGGATTATCGTCCTGACAGCCCAGCCCCCAAGCGGCATTGATTAACCAGCTAACGGCAGCGGAACATGCCACTTAGCACGTCGGCAGCACATTCTTCGTTTTTTTTTTTTTATTCACAGCCGAAGCCTACTTGTTGTAACCTCTCACCTCGCATAAGCTTGTGTGTGTGTGTATAGAAATTCAAAAAAACAGTAATAATAATACTAGTATATTTACACACACACATATATATGCATTTATGTACACACGTCCTTCAAAAGTTGGCCTGCCACTCAATTATGTTCTCCTTCTATACATTCCATCTACACAAATAGTGAGACATTTTCCTAACATTTAAAAATGATTTGTATTTAATTATATAAGAGATTTTGCGCAAAAACAGTACTACAAAGATTGAGGCAATTTTGAAAGTATGGCGAGATTCACCTTAAAAAATAAACTTGATTAATACTTAACGGAAATTGGGGAGAGTTTGTCCATAGAGGAGCAGCTCACTGTGGATGATTCCTTGCCAATCGCACCATATACATAAAAAACCTTTCTGGCCATAAATTCTGGCTTGGAGACCGTTTGGGCCGGCTCACTGCCCTTCCACCACGACCATTTTCGTTTGAAGTTGCTGTAAGTGATCTATTTTTCCTCACCG